GTGCGGGGGTGACGAGGGAGAAGAGCGTGAGGAATCCGGAGGAGTTGAGGAGGAGGGGGAGCGTGGATGAGAGGACTATGACTATGAGTGCCCAGAGGCTGTTTGTGGCGAATCCGGATGAGGATAGTGATTAGGTGTGGATATACATTAGTTGATTTAGGCGCCCAGGAGGCGTCGGGGAAGAAGTAATGTCGTGGTGGATGTGGATGGGGGAGTACATATGTGGTTGGGGAGTTGTTTTTATCTGATCGAGAGAGATAGGAGGGGTTGAAATCTAATATGGAAGTTTGAAGACTTACTTTTTGCTGCTTCTGCTGCACTGTACTGTGCCTGTGGCGTTTGAGGTATGGTATACGTGAAGTAGAGGGTATATCACACACCTACACTTCATTAATAACGCTATCAAGATTTATCGGATTCTCCTCTAGCAAACCCCTCCCTGCCTCTCTACTAAGTATAATCTAAGCAAGAATAGAAGGGCGAGATAAAAGAAGAGAAATATATTTTCATTTATCTGCGTATGAACGCAAGCTTGTCTTACACATTATAACTATTAAAGAGAACATTACTGTCATTGCTTCCCTCCACTTCTTTTTCCCCTTTTTCCCTTTCCCACCTACTTCCTCTCAGTAGGACTCCCCCAAACCACGTTCTGCTCCCAACCTCCCCCACCTCACCTATACTGGGTAGATCCTGAGGCGCCCGCATGTTCCCAAGGTGATAATATTCGCTAGGAACATTCAAGCTCTACTTCCCATACCGATTCCCGTGCGTACTATCAACTCTCTATCAAGTATCACGACACTATAGGAATTTAAGGGCTTAGTAGTTCATCGCAAAGATCCGTGAGGCCGGCCCAATCTAGATCTTATAGATCATTCAAAATCCGTGCCACACACTGCAAAACAACACATACCTTATTTTTTCTTATCTTTAGGTTTAATAACTATTCTTTTCGTGCTTATATACCAAGTTAGTTCTCATATTATAGGAACATGACAGCGTTTTGCGTGTACAGTAAGTATTTGTTGCGACGTTCGGCTGCCATGCATGCACTTGTCATTGGCTGCAACAAGGTGGCTTGCAAATAC